TATAGGATTTAGAGGTGCCACTGTAATGTGTATGTGCTGCTGTTCTTTCTTCTCAATTTACAGGGGCAACGTGAGGACCTGACCAGCTGTCATAGGATATTCAGTGGTATAAACATGTTATAGAAGAGGAATTGTATTCTGCAAGAATAGGATAGTACTGTTTAGTTTAGTCAGATAGAAGAAGGGCTCTACTTTTATGCTCACTGTGGTAGTGGTTTATTGTCAGAGTGTTGTCACAAGATGGCTCATGGCCCAGAGACAGCCTCTAGTCTATGACTGTAATGTTATGGAAGTAACATGATGTGTGATTTTCTGAAATTGATATTTTATATTACTTGTTAAGAGTTTGACCTTTCCCAGTACAGTAAATGAGCATTAAAGCCAACCCCAAGTGACCTACGTACAGTAGCTCCAGGTATTGTGGAGTAGGTACTGTAATCTGTAAAGTTCTCAGCAGTCATACTGAAGTCATTGAAATCATTCTCTCTCTTTACTGATTGGGGCGCTGTAGGCCCAACATAGCAAGGGGCATGTCAGGCCACTAGAGAGAGAACCATAACTCACCCAGAGTGCAGCTGTCCGACTCTGTAGTGTACCACAAAGACACACTCTTTCTCCTCGGGCCAGATGGCAATTTATAACAAAAACAAAAGTCAGAAATATGCTCTAACTTCATGGGCAATGATGTTGATTGATTGAGAGCGGGGGCAGGAGTGTTGGACCACTTAAGATCCTGACTACTGTTTTTGTGTAAGAGCAGAGGTCTGACTGCCCAAGGTGCTGCCAAAACAGGGTATTTTACCCTTGCTGCAGCTCTTTAGAACTATAAAAACCCCCAGAAGTTCATCATATTATCACTTTATAAGCAGTCTGACTGCATTACAGTATTAAATATGAAAGATTTAGGCTCAGTTCACATCTCTGCACGTAATGGCACCCCTAAGCACCTAGCCATTGCATGTTTGTTGTATTGCTCCACATCGCATGGTAACCTATTGTGATGTGCTGCGATCTTAAAGAAAGGTGTTTGCACTTCTTTGAGAGCAACTCAAATGAATGGGCTGTCCTACTACAGTGTACCACAATATACTCTGCAGCACCTCTCGGATGTAGTATCGCAGAGGTGTGAACAGGAACTTATTTATGCTTTACCTATTCCATACTCTATTCAAAAATGTTTGAAAAGTATTGACTGTAGATACAACTGCAAAGCTAGCTTACTTGGGGAAACTTGACAGTGATTATGCATGCACTGCACTCTTCTGAACCACAACACTTGTAAGAGCCTGTAATAAGATTTTTGGGCTCAATTCAGACATATAGCAGGTGGTTGGAATAATATTAAAGAAGGGTGAGAGATATCTAGATAAGTACGGTATAAGTAGTACTCCTATACACTTTTTCTGAGCTGTATGAACTTATCTGAACACAGGACATCAAGAAAAGGAGAAACCCACGCCTTGTGCCATACGTTCTGCTGGATGAGAAGACCAAGAAAACCAACAGAGACAGCCTGTGTGAAGCTGTGCGTACTCTCATTGGATATGGATACAACATTGAGCCGCCTGACCAGGAGAGCTGTAAGTATGAGGAGAGTCAATCTCACAGGAAAGGCTATAAAACATGTAGTTCCTGTGAATCATAATAAGATATCACAGGTACACCTGGTAAACTGAGGCCAGCACAGCCATTGGTGGTTCTAAGTAGGCCACAATGGTATTTGTTTCTTTATAACATTCATTTTATGCAGTACAGTACATAGTGTAAGGGTCACTAAAGCAAGCCTGTAGCAGAGATTTGTGGCACTTGCAGATCTCTTTGATACTATTGATGCTGTACATGGCTACAATTCTCTGTGCACCTACAAATCTTTGATGTGGTTGGTCCTCCGTAGCTGCATTTAATAAGATAAGTCATTGCTGAGGCTGCCAATTCTAGGTCCACAATGCTGCAAAAAGTCAATGACTCAGTGACTTACCTACAAATCACTGGGATTGTTGTCCTGAGGACCTTTCATTGACTGCAATTAATTCTAAAGAGAGCTTTTATAGCCACTACAAATCACTGCTTCAAAATCACGTGCACGATGTGGCCCTAAGCTAAATGATTCAATGGAACTTGGAATAGATTTGTACATAGTTGTTTCTCTTCTTTTTTTTCCTTGTAAATATAACATAATGCTTATGAATATTATATTTTTTTCTACAGTTAGAGCGTAGAGCTTTAGGCTACATGCACACTAGTCTTCTGCATTTGGTTTATCTAAAGGCAACAGAAACTTTCTGGAAGTATTTACAAATTTGAAAACAGAATAGAAAGTTGACCCAAAACTATTACAGATTACATGATTTACATGATTCACTCTGGGGGAAAAACTGATTGTCTGGATATATAGCAATGTGTCTGGAATTAAACATTTATTCTCTATCATTTTCTAGTGTAGGTATGATTCCAATCTAGACTATTTAAAATGATGGCTATTAATCCTCCTTGTTAAGACTGATTGGTTTAAAAATAGTTTCAATGTGTAATTTGGAGTTAATGATGATAATAAGAATACTTGTAATGCCAACCCTTACATGGCCTTCAATCTCCTTCTCCCACAGCTGGTCAAGGTGGTGTCACAAAGCCTCGTGCTGAGAGAATGCGCATATTCCGAGCTGAGAAGTCATATGCAGTCAAATCAGGGAGGTGGTACTTTGAGTTTGAAGCTGTCACCACAGGTGAGATGAGAGTTGGATGGGCTCGGCCTGAAGTGAGACCAGATGTAGAGCTTGGAGCAGATGAGCTGGCTTATGTGTTTAATGGCCACAGGGTGAGTATCGACACTGCATGTATATGTCACACGGGGACTTACAACCTACAGGAAGGAAACCTGATCCAGAAATACATAAAGTTTCAAGCACTGAAGAGTGATCTTCACAAACTTATTTCTTGTATCTGATTTTTTACAGGGTCAGCGCTGGCACATTGGTAGTGAACCATTTGGACGTAATTGGCAGCCCGGAGATGTGGTTGGGTGTATGATTGACTTGACTGAAATGAACATCATATTCACTCTAAATGGGGAGATGCTGATCAGTGATTCTGGTTCTGATGTTGCTTTCAAGGATATAGAAATTGGGGAAGGTGAGTGAAATGCCTCTATTAGCTTGTTGAATGTTGGGTGGATCTCCACGATCCTCATTCATAAACATTTAGGGAAATGAGTATTGCCTATGGTCAGACTCAAATTCGTGCAACGCTGCATAGACTGCGGCATAGGGTGGTAAAGTTTGAAAGTTATGCTACCCCTATGTTAATTAAAGCTAAACTCATTAAGCACATGGTTGAAATAAACCTTTGTGAAAAGTATACCAATTGATGTATTCAGGGTGCGTAACTAGAAATCACATGGCCCCCATAGCAAAATTTTGTATGGGGCCCTGTGATTTCTAGTCACGCCCCTTGCAGAGCCCTCCTGAGATCCCAAACAGCCCACCTGAGAGTGACCCTGCAGAGCTCACCATAGACTCTCTATGGCTGTCACTGACTCAACAGCGGCTGTGAGGAGGAACACGCCGCTGCACAGATCACTGACAGGTTGAGCAGAGCCTGATTGGCTTCTAGGGCTGACACTCCCTCTTTATGCCTTAGTGCTGCTATAAAGGGAATAGCAGGAAGCTGATATCAAGACAGATTCAGATACTTAGGCTATTTGCATGTTGTAAATAGAAGTGATTATTTTATATGGAATGTACAACTTCAACTTTGAACACATTTTTAAGGACAAGACTATGACCATGACTAGTAAGCTGATGAGCCTTTTTATATCACATTGGAAAGACTTATTATTTCCTAGTGAATACAGCTTGTATTACTATTTAGTCAGTGAAAACAGATTATTCTGACACTAGTTATGGAGGATTGGTTCTGACACTAATATGTCTATTCACTAAAGGGTGAAGGGTTTGGAGAAGGCAGGAGAAGTGAACAATCTTGGACAACATAGCTGATTTGGAAAGTGAGCTGAATTAGAGAATATTTCCAAAACAGCTATGTTGTCCTAGATTGTTCACTTCTCCTGCCTCCTCCAAACTCTCCACCCTTTTGTGAATAACCCTTTAAGAGTTCTGAAACCCTTAGAGCAGTGCTCCCCAACCTTTTTATCGCCGCGGACCGGTCAACGTTTAATAATTTTACCATGGCCCGCTGAGGGGGGGGCGTTGATTGTTTATATTTTATAATATATATATCATTATTAT